ATCAATTTTTGTATTAACGTATCCTTAGTCCGTGACTACAAAAACCATATAGTATTCAAAATGTCGGAACTAACATAATAACAGTAAAAAACGCGAGATTAAACCGTAAATGTAGTTTCAATTATGTCTACAAAATACGAAAACCGAGGAAAATACTGTATCAGTATAGGTTATAAGAATCTTTACATACTCGTGAATCGAAAACTTAAATATTGAAGTGAAATTAAAATTAATATTATGATAAAGTGCAATAAATTTGGTGAAGGCTATCGTGATAAAATATTGTAAATAGCAGCGAGCGCCGGCGCCTGCGATTGTTATCTGGTACATGAATGAGCAACGTCGTCGCATCGCCGACCACCCCGAATCGCTGCTACCGGCTATGTGCACATTGTCTGCTATCTAGAACTTTACTAATACCTTCTACTATGGATATATTACCTATGAGTCGACTATTATCAAAGCCGGCAATCTGACTTTTGGACAATGATTGGTAAATCAGAAAAACGAATTATTGACTTTGTGTTCCATTGGCAGTCACAAAACTCTTCGGAACGACATCTTAGATAAATAACAGGTTAACTATTAACCTTTATTTAATGCAGGTTTTGAACCGTATTCTTTGAAGGAGACGATTATATTCAAATCAATCTGTATTGACATATCAATAAAAAACTTTTGTCCAAATGCACAGATTGCCACATTTGATAATAGACGACTCCTATATGATATATTACCTAAGAATGAAAACATACGTAATTTAGTAGATTCTATAGGAATGGTCAAGAGAATAAAAATAAGAAAAATAATCCAAGTTGCCTCACATTTATACCAAGCTACCTCACTTTTTTTTTCTCGTCGTGGGCAGACGATCTTACTGCCCACCTAATGGTGACTGATTACTATCTCTCATGGAACTCAGCAATACCAGAGGCACAGCCAAGTCCCTACCTGCCACCGAGTAGGTACTCCGTGTAAACCTCGTTTGAAAAAAGACCTGTCATAGCGTTCTCGCCTTTTTTCTGGTTAAAATATTTACTGGTGGTAGGACGTCTTGTGAGTCCGCACGGGTAGGTACCACCACCTTGCTTATTTTTGCCGTGAAGCAGTAATGCGTTTCGGTTTGAAGGGTGGGGAGGCGTTGTAACTATACTGAGACCTTAGAACTGGTGGGTCTCAAGGTGACCCACCTTCAGCTAAGAAAGGTGAAAACTTCGGTATCTTTTCATAACTGTTCCTAATTTATAATTTTATTACTCAGAATAAATATTTAATGGGAAAATTAGTTATTCAAGTTCTGATTTCCTGTTTAATAATCGAAGCAGTGGTCTAACGTGATGACCCTATATACATTTTATCCCTTGTAGTTCACCAGGAAGAGAGATTCGAGCATTGGAAAAGGGTTTTTTAAAATGGTCATTTCATGATTAAAAAGAAATATTGGTCTTTATTACAAGTTTATTAATTTAATAATCACAATAAAACAGTAAAATGCCGGAATGATTAGAAATTGTCCATTAAATAATATAAAAACAAATATAAGACTAAATTGCATTATTTCATTTCAATATTAAAAAACTGAGTGGAGACAAATCTGTTCCTTCTAGTTTTTTACATACTCATTATATACTCGATTTTTAATTGTATGTTCAAATTATCATTGATATCAATTTTGGTTACGATTGAACATGATTTTCTTATTTATACACTCTATACACTCATGGACAAATTTAGGTTTAATCTCTATTGTTGTAATTTTCGTCCGTACTCGTCGCAAACAATTATTACTGATATTCTATTAAATTAAATATATTTGATTTGTAAATGAACTAATAAAAAAATCCAAATCAATAAACATGATTGTCACAAACATTTCATGTACCTTTTAAAAAAAATTGCGTTCCTCTAAATTTGTCCATAAGTGTAGTCATCGAAAAAAATATAAAAATCGATATTTTGTTACATAAAGTTCGATATGTCTTGACGAACGTACCTACACATCAACAAAGTTACAAGCACATCTTGAACCGAGAAATGTAAATATTATGAATCTCAAAGTGGTATAAACAATACAAAAATATAACAGATGCGTCATACACGATGGGACTATTATGCAGAAAGTACGTCCCTAATCTACACGAATTATCACTACTACTTCTCGACTATCCGTATCCGTAGTATATCCTGTTTACTTTCGTCTTGAGTAATGACGATAGAACGAGTTGTAGCCCCCCTTCAACTCGGTACCACCATCCTACCTAATTCGCAAACCACGCTTCGAGCAATCACTGGTTCCAAGCTGAAGTGCGGGATAATTGTCAACCGCCTTTCAAACGAATGTATAGCCTAACTTGAAACAATAGTGAACAAATTTAAATCACAGTTTAGACTACTTTTCTATAGATAAGATTATGAAACATTTAAAATAATCCTCGAACTTATTTAATTAAAAACGCTTATAAAGATTTTTATTTTCAAGATGGAATCTGGCCGTCCCAAAAAGTTATCGGTCCGCAGCCCGAGGGCCGACCGGCGCGGCCTTTCGTCATTAATTTACTTCTGTAAATATTGTATTTTCGTATTACAAGATCGTTTTACGATTCAATACTGTACTCCTCAGTATACATACATATATCATTTTTAATTTTCTTTATCATAATTCTTCCTTTTTTTATTGCTCAGATGGATGCCCGGGTTCACAGGCCATCTGGTGTTAAATGGCTATCTAAGCCCATAGACATCAACAACGTGCAGAGTACAACGTGCGAGAGATAAGTTCAGTCTTAGTTATATAGTTGAACGGTAGCCCCACCCTTTAAACTGAAAAGAATTACTGCTTCACGGCAGAAATAGACAGGTCGGTGTTACCTATTCGTGGGGTCTCACAAGACGCCCTACCACCATATTTTACAAATTAATATAATTAACATTCTTCGGTTTTATCTTAGATTCATTTACACATCTCGTTTGAAATACTAGATCTATTGCAATAAATACAGCGCAGCATCGATATTATTAAATTAAAATTTTATATTAATTAATATCAACCATCATTATGTTTAAGCCTACAGAGTTTCTCGCCGGATCTTCGCGACCCGCGTTTCCGGATTTGGTGGTAGATTCTGCGAAGCACTGCTCTTGCTAGGGCCAGTGTTGCCAACACTCCCGGTTTGAGCCCCGTGAGCTCACCTACTAGTTCGGTGAATTTAGAATAACCCCGCGAGGTTACTAGAATAGGTAAGAAAAAAAAATTATGTTTACAGCTACTAAAGTTACGTTTCTATACACATTAGTTATGACCGTCGAGATTAAGAGATTGGCATTCGATCGTCAATAATTTAAACAGATACAATCCGCATCCGATCGCATCGACAATTAATCTGTATATCGCGAACTGTAATTACGGAACTTACGTTCGAGAATGCTGTTACAATTAAACTAGCGGTGCCTTCATGAAAATAATAAACAAGATTGCATCGGGAAACATGTATACGATCGTTCATCAATAAACAAATAAACATTAAATTTATCGATATGATACAATGAGTGTACGTTTCTCACCAATTATGTATTCATATTTCATTCGAGAAAATGAAAGGATGTTAATTAAAATGTACCTTTTCGCGGGACCTAAATAAAAGTTATTTTGCATAAAATCTTAGTTCTGGACATTAGAGAAAAAAAAGGTCGAATATTTATAATTTTAAAATGAGCTTCAATCGGCTATTGAATACTATAGATTGGGGACGACGATATCACCTTAAGCGGAGTATAGTCCCCGGCACGTAACTTGGCAAGAGTCGTTATTTAATTACATAAAATTATATGCGGGCAATAAAAGTGACCATTTTTTTGTTGCAATGTGCACTATGCGCGACCTTACCCCCACTACGCCAAAACCGTACCAACTTACTTGCCGCTTACTATATATGCTTCACTGTCACACACAAACTATCATTCAAATTATTCAACAATTTCGCAAAAATAGGATCGTATATTTTTTTATTACTTAGATAGACGGACGACCTCACGGCCAACCTCGTGTTAAGTGGTTACCGGAGCCCATAGACATCTACAATGTAAATGTCGCCACCCACCTAGACATGACTTCTAAGGTCTTCGTATTTACAATACAACAGCTGCCCCACTCTTCAAAGCGAAACGCATTACAGAAATTCCTTTACAAAGTTTTAATGACATGACTGTCTCTTTGAATACCAGCATAATGAATTGTTACCTACCTTGTCCCTGATAAGGAAACCAACTCTTAGTGAGATGGCAGACATTTTTTATACGCAAACATCTAATATATAAAATTCTCGTGTCACAATGTTCGTTCCCATACTCCTCCGAAACCGCTTGACCGATTCTCATGAAATTTTTTATGCATATTCATTCAGTAAGCCTTAGAATCGGCTACTATCTATTTTTCATACCCCTAAGTGATTAGGGTTGTCCACCCCTAACATATTTTTTTTATTTGGATTTTTTTTTTGTTATAATGAGGTATTATGTGATTGAATGAGGTTTTGTTATTTTTATTATATATTCCCTCATCGTTCACAGCACTACATACCTCTTTCACTCATTTACCACATCCTTACAATACGTTAGTTTTTTTTTCTACACTAGAAATTCCCTAGAAATCTTATATGAGTCGACTATTATCAAAGCCGGCAATGTGACTTTTAGACAATTATTGGTAAATCAGAAAAACGAATTATTGACTTTGTATTCCATTGGCAGTCACAAAACTCTTCTGAACGACATCTTAGATAAATAACAGGTTAAGTATTAACCTTTATTTAATGCATGTTTTGAACCGTATTCTTTGAAGGAGACGATTATATTCAAATCAATCTGTATTGATATATGAATAACATTTTTTTGTCCAAATGCACAGATTGCCACCTTTGATAATAGACGACTCATATATAGCAAAACAATGTTTGCCGGGTCAGCTAGTTTTTTTATAAAATTTAAGAAATTTACTGCAAAAAGTAAGATTTTATGCTTTTGCTTACCAAAATTATAGTCGTCTTTAATTAAAAAAATTCAAATGCATTTTTTCCCAATTTTTTTTTAATAACATTAACGAGTTGCCATCACGAAGAAAGGAATTAAAGCGAAACATCACATTTGGGTTAATAACCATTTGGTGTAGGTAGGGACTTTGTGGTGAATTTTTTTTATATTGATAATCGGTTGCATGGCCAATTTTCATCTCGAAGCAGTTGTGCAGAAACTAGGGAAAGAGCTCTCTCTATGTAATCTTGACTATAGCATTGGATAACTTGTAATGGTTACAATAAAACAGTCACAGAAACAAATACATAAACAAAGACAAATACATAAACACTTAATTACATTTGTTTCTTATTCTCTTTGCCTGTTCAAATAAATGAACTACATTTAAAATTAATACATATTTGTGTAAAAAAAAACACAAAAGAGCCGCTCCTTGCAAGCGCTAGCAGCTACCTGCTTTTTTTGCAACACGAATGAAATCAGTTGACGTGCGGGGTCGATGACCTCGATAGACGCGAGGGAGAAGTCTATCAACTGTCTTTGTCTTGCCTGTAAGTCACGAATTCACTAATAAATAATGAACTTCCCAAAACAAACAGCATTTATACTAGCTTACCTAATAAACATTGATTTTTGCTGAGATGTGGCTCACACCCTGTATAAATTAACACACAATTTACAATAAATTTCTTATTATAAAATTTAAAATCACAATATGGCTGAAAACTTTTATATACTAAGATTCTTATAAATCACAGCTAAGTTAATACAATAGGGAAATGGACGGTTTTTTTTTTTAAATAAACTAAGCCAAGATCCGTTTAACGGTCAGCCGGAGCTGAAATAAGCGACGCAATGAGCAACCATAGATAATATTCTACTGTTTAAAATTAGCCACATTTATAGTGATCGGTGTAAACTACGGGTCAAGAGCGGGAGAAAATATTAGCTTAGAGTCATTTTATCATACAATCACTAAATTATCTTACCGTTTTAAAAAAATGAGAACAATTCAGTTTTTTTTTTTTTTAAATCGTTCTAATCACTTTTAGATTTAACTTTTACTAGTGTCCGGTCGCTTATTTACATCGTCGTTAAACAACATCAATACTTATTATTCCTTCTATAATTCTTCGTGCATTTTAATAAGAGACGCTTCAACGAAGTTCTGAAAGTCTTGTCTGTTGCGCACGTACTCGGCACACTTCGCGACCAACCTCAAGAATTCTTTGACGTCAAACGAATAATTGGTGAACTTTGCATGTGAACCACCGCCGGGACTGTGACCCTAAAAATATATATAAATATTAGCAAAATTTGTGTTCCCACCAGTCCACTGAGTTTCTCGCCGGATCTTCTCAGTGGGTCGCATTTCCGATCCGGTGGTAGATTCTGCGAAGCACTGCTCCTGCTAGGGCCAGTGTTAGCAACACCTGCGGTTTGAGCCCCGTGAGCTCACCTACACGCTAGGGTAACGATGATATAGCCTTTCAAGGCTATCAGCATAGGTAGGAAAACAAAAGTGTTTCCATCGACTAAGAAAATATCCTCCGTCTGCTAAAACTGTATTTTAGATTCAGAACTAAAGAGTATATATAGTAAAGTCTTTTAAACCGACAAAATAAACATTATGAGTGCTCTCTGTATATTTTAACTATAGTCAAGACCAAGTAAACGTATTATTAAAAAAAAAAACTTACCTTTTATATTTAAATACACAAACAGAACGTACCTCATCTTGTTGGACAAGTTTTGATTTATCTTCCCATGTTACGTATTTGAGTCCTCGAAGTCTACTTAAATCAGCATAGCAGTTAGGATCTTCACAATTGTATCTGAAACAATCAAAGCCATCAAAAGTGAACATTGATTTAGTCGTAGATTGCTGGAGAAGTTTCTTAACACGTTCGCGTGAGCAACCTCATTTCTGAATATTGTTACTGTGGTGCATCTTTTTCCCATACAAAGTTTAGCAACGTCTAAAAACGTCCCGCCGTAATACGTATATCCTATGATGATTTTTTTTGGGAACGCGGCGGTGTAGGCTATGAAAATCGAATGTTTTGCGGCGCTAAGTACATGCGCTATAGGAATTTGCCCATAAAATAGACGTCCGAAGACGTTCCGACAAAATAAATATGATAATCTAGAGGCCGTCATATGACGTTGCGCCATTTCATAATTCTAAAAACACGACGTTGTAAGACGTTGCTCACGCGAACGTGTTAATCATTCAATTAATTTTAAGGGCACGATGGCCTATCAAAGTTCACAATGAACATTTTATATAGCAGATATCAGGACCAAGATTCGTCTCCAAACATAATCAGTGTGCACACAGTAGCTGTACTTAGAGCTAGATTGTAGAGGATGGGAGAATAACATAAAAAATCTACAAGGGACAAAGTGCAGTGATTTTTTGTGGAACCTAAGAAATCGGATAAAGACGAACCCTTTCATCGGCCCTTTGATGTTGAAACTTCGACCTCAAAGTAGGCTTCATCACTTTTCACATAAATCCGAACAAATAGTATAGAAAGTCGTTAGTTGAAGGAATCTTCTAAGTAATAAATTAAAGGCCTAATAGGTCTTCATAAAGATAAATGATTCATAAAATTCATATTAGTATTGTAACAACTTTCATCATCTATATTTAATATTTATCGGTCGCAACGAAATGAAAAATAATTTATTAATATGTATTTTTTTAAATATTTACACTTCAAATACCGCTGCCCAATCAGGTAAGAACAGTAAATGTGTCAGACCGGCTCCATGCATTCCAATGAACACATCAGTATTGTGAGTTATTTCTAGCTGCTTTGTGAATGAAACTGTCCTGTCATACACAACGCGTTGCACATAATAACCATCTTCTTTGAGCAAAGCATCTACAATTTCTTTCTCATTTAGAATTGACCTATATGTGGTTCCTCTCGATAGGAGAGTAACTCGTACTCTATCATCGGTACGCATATGCAGTTTTATATTCAAAGAATGCAGTATGTGTTTAGAGAAGGCATGAAACAATCCACTTCTTTCGCATCCGTATATCTGGAATATACAAAAACGTACTTGATTAGTTTAGTTGATAGTTGAATAAGGAATCGTACTGATAGAAATAGGGATAAGATTTTGATTAAAACTTAGAAACAAATTTAGAGGAAGACTAAAAACATTATGTATGTAAAAAACAAAATATTATTTATGACAATTAAGTTAATCAATTTGGTTTGTGCCGTTGGCATGACCATACTATTCATTTCTAGTGCAAAGCAATCAGAGGTTCTATGCTGAAGAGCGAGATGGTCATTATGCTAATAATTTGTGAGTCAGTCAGTCAGTATGAGTATTTTTTTTAAAACCATTATTCAGTTATTTCATCAAGATTCAATTTTATTAATCAGTAAATTCATAATGTACTCTTTTATTTTTTATCCTAGCTTGTCCTGCAGCTCTTTCAGCATCAATTGTATATCCCTTTTGGTTACAAACGACGTCTTTTTTAGCGATTTTGAAAAGAATTGTAAAATGATTTAGTTATTATGAGGATACTTACTAGAGGTGTGTTGTAGTAGAGACCAAAAATCATTCTTGGCAGAAGCGGGAACACTGCATTTTTAAAACAGACAACTTTTCCTCTAAACCTCTTTAAATCCCAAATCGGATTCTCAGTGAATGCCTTAAAAGCGTCTTTGAATGCAGAATCATATGTAAATGTTTCCCAAACTAGAATATGATTGTTTCTAGTAAATGTTGATGGGTGTGTGGAATTTACGTGTAGTGATGCATACAAATTGAAAAAGTCACAAAAATGATGATACATGTTTACAGCTGAAATAAATAAAAAAATCACTATAGTATTTGTGTTTTAAGAATCCTTGATTAATTTGTTACAAAGCTTTGACCTGTAAATAAATATCTACATAGAGACCTCGAACACCAAATATCTTTCACAACGAAGGTCATGCAAATCGATTACTACCCTCTTGAACAATGTGGCTACTCAAGAATTTTATAAAATTATTCAAATTTCTTTCATATCTGTGTCAGTCTATTAGACTATGCTATATTGTATTTCAATAACAAGTAAGACCTTTTTTACAATACTAATGGTTTATGTTTGTTTTTTATTGATTTACTTGAAGCGTGAGATTTCTCTAATAGTACGAATGATGGGTAGTCTTATTGCTAATGACAGTCTAGTTTGTACAGTTTTTATTTAACAATTTTTTTCTTTTATAAACTGTTGTACCTCTTCTAATGCTATAAATATTTTAAGATATCTATCACTCTAAGGACCATAATAATAAACTACAGAGTACCTATCCAATACTTCGATCTTTGATTAGGATCTTATATTATAAAATACAAGTTAAGATGGTGTATTAAAATTTAATTAATGTTCTATTTACCGGCATCAAGTTTCATGATATAAGTTGGTTTATCTATGACAATGTCACACATTCCATCTGCTATTGGCTTTTTAGGAGTTTTGACGAAATTCACCATTTCTGGACCCCATGACTGTAATGCACTCATATGTTCTGCCTCCTTCATAAGTCTATCTGAATAGAACTTACAGTAGCCACCTGAAAAATAATTTCAAACTTTGTTTTATTTTAAAATGATTGCCGGAGCGCTACTATTATTTTATACACATGCAATTTAAGCACGAATTAAATTTATTTAATTATATTTAGTAAATTAATTCGAATCGTCGTGGCCTAAAGGATAAGACGTCCGGTGCATTCGTATATAGCGATGCACTGGTGTTCGAATCTCGCTGGCGGGTACCAATTTTTCTAATGAAATACGTACTCAACAAATGTTCACGATTGACTTCCACGGTGAAGGAATAACATCGTGCAATAAAAATCAAACCCGCAAAATTATAATTTGCGTAATTACTGGTGGTAGGACCTCTTGTGAGTCCGCACGGGTAGGTACCACCGCCCCGCCTATTTCTGCCGTGAAGCAGTAATGCGTTTCGGTTTGAAGGGTGGGGCAGCCGTTGTGACTATACTGAGACCTTAGAACTATATCTCAAGGTGTGTGGCGCATTTACGTTGTAGATGTCTATGGGCTCCAGTAACCACTTAACACCAGGTGGGCTGTGAGCTCGTCCACACATCTAAGCAATAAAAAAAAAAAAAAAAAATTGATTAAATTAATTAAATTATTTAAATTATTTGAAAAAACTACGAAATTTTACGATACCTATTTGTCCAGCACTGAGAATATCAGTTTTGTATCTCAAATTATCACCACGACCCACAAGGCCAGTAAAATTCAGCATTATATTTCTTCCCCTGCAGAACCTGAAACACAACACTTCCATTTTATATTTTGTTATTTTTCTCACATTCACTTCTACATACAATATTTGCAGTTAAACCATCATGCGAATAGCTGATATTGGGGAACATTTCTACCATCAGGAATGATATTCTCCAAATTCATGATTGGGACCAACATTTGGACTTTTAGTCAAACTATTTAAGTCATACACTCTCATGTTAGTGGTCGATATGATTACGGCCTGCTGGGCAAAAGTACTATTGTATTTTATTTAATGTGCCCATAAAATATTATATAGATTGTACATATAAAAATTCCTAACAGTAATTCTTCATTTCTTCGTAAGATTCCTGTACACACCTATAGCAGTTATAACTGCTCTTTGCCGTTAAATGAGTTCATGTAGCCCTATTCCGCATTTCATACAAAATAACACCTGTTTAGATACCTTTAAATTAGAATCAATCATCAATTTCATTTAAGAGTGGTTGGGGTCCAGAACCACTCTTAAACCTCCTCCCGGGTCGGACTGCCTACGATTTCGCCTTGGCCTACGGCTTCTCCCAGCTGGTGACACAGCCCACCCGTGTCCCAGATATCGAGGGGCACGAACCTTCTTTGTTGGATCTTCTGCTAACCACGGATCCGGCCGGATACAGTGTGGTGGTCGACGCTCCGCTTGGATCGTCTGATCACTGCCTTATTCGTGCTGCCGTACCACTCTCTCGTCCTGGTCGTCGAACGACGACCGGGTATCGTAGAGTTTGGCGGTATATGTCAGCAGATTGGGATGGATTCCGTGAATTTTACGCATCCTACCCATGGGGGCGGTTCTGCTTTTCCTCTGCTGATCCTGACGTCTATGCGGACCGTCTTAAAGACGTGGTGCTCCGGGGGATGGAATTGTTTATACCCTCCTCTGAAGTGCCCGTTGGGGGTCGCAGCAGACCCTGGTATATCAATGCCAGCAGGGATGCTGCACACCTCAAGCGGTCCGCATACGTGGCATGGGATAATCCCAGGAGACGTCGGGATCCTAACATCTCAGGGGAAAGGCGGAAATATAACGCCGCTTCCAGGTCCTACAAGAAGGTAATTGCCAAGGCGAGGTCGGAGCACGTTGCTAGAGTTGGCGAGCGATTAAAGAGCTATCCCTCCGGGAACCGTGCTTTTTGGTCGCTCGCCAAAGCTGCAGAAGGAAACTTTTGCAGGTCTAGTCTCCCACCACTGCGCAAGTCCGATGACACTCTGGCCCACAGCGCGAAAGAGAAGACTGACCTTCTGGTCAAACTCTTCGCCTCGAACTCGACTGTGGACGACGGGAGTGCCACACCACCGAACATCCCCCGGTGTGATAGCTCCCTGCCGGATATCTGCTTCACACAGCGTGCAGTTAGACGGAAGCTCCGACTCCTGGACGTCCATAAGTCAAGTGGGCCAGACGGCATCCCCGCAGTGGTTCTGAAAACGTGCGCCCCTGAGCTGACACCTGCGCTAACGCGTTTGTATCGCCTCTCTTATTGCACTAACAGGGTTCCGTCTTCAGGGAAGACCGCCCACGTCCACCCTATCCCCAAGAAGGGTGACCGGTCGGACCCGTCGAGCTATAGGCCTATCGCGATAACTTCCTTGCTTTCCAAGGTAATGGAGCGAATAATAAATACACAACTCCTGAAGTATCTTGAGGATCGCCAGCTGATCAGTGACCGACAGTACGGTTTCCGTCACGGTCGCTCAGCTGGCGATACCTTACTCACAGGTGGGCTGAAGCCTTGGAGAGCAAGGGCGAGGCTCTTGCTGTGAGCCTTGATATCGCGAAGGCCTTCGACAGGGTCTGGCATAGGGCACTTCTATCGAAGCTACCATCTTACGGAATCCCCGAGGGTCTCTGCAAGTGGATCGCTAGCTTTTTGGATGGGCGGAGCATCACGGTCGTTGTAGACGGTGNCATGGAGGTCGCACTCGTACCCTAGGCCACCACATAAACTACATAAATCATGCTAGCGAAACCCAGGAAGATGATAAAATAGAAAATCTGGTAAAACAGTATTTCGCTATGGATGCGCTATGCATCACACCAAGAAGACCAAAAACAGACCCAGAGGAACAGGCGCTTCGCATCCTCAACAGCAATACAGTCCACACAACAGATCGTCGCAAAAGGCTAGGCCGAGCCCGCTCCAAAAACAAAAACAGAGAACAGAACGTGGTATCTACCTCACTTCACCGTCGTGAACCCCCTGAAGCCGGAAAAACTCCGAGTCGTCCACGACGCCACCGCCAGAACAAGAGGGGTAGCTTTGAATGATATGATGCTTAAGAGACCGGACCTACTCCAATCACTACCAGGAGTAATAATGCAATTTAGACAGCATAATATAGCAGTAACAGCAGACATCAAACAGATGTTCATACAAGTAAAATTGAGACCTGAAGACAGAGACGCGCTCCGTTATTTCTGGCGCAAAGATCAGCGAGATGACAAGCCCCCAGAAGAAAACAGAATGACCTCGTTGATCTTCGGGGCGTCAAGTTCTCCTTCCACAGCAATATATGTAAAGAACTTGACCGCCCAGAAACAAGAAGCCACGCACCCGGAGGCGGCAGTCGCAGTACAGAACAGACACTACGTAGACGACTACTTGGATAACTTCAAAACTTTAAAAGATGCAGTGCACATAACAACAGACTTTCGTCGAAAACACGAAAGAAAGCCGACCTCGAAGACCTTCTGGACCGACAGTAAGATAGTGTTGAGATGGACAAGAATGGGATCACGCTCGTACAAACCATACGTTGCCCAAAGCCTGACAGCTATAGAAGACAGTTCAACAGTAAACGGGAGGCGATGGTTACCCACGAAGCACAACGTATCCGACGACGTGACCCGAGATGTCCCAATGTCGTATCAGAATGAACATAGATGGTTCAGAGGGCCAGATTTCTTACGCCAACGAGAGGACTCCTGGCCGACGGAATCGGCGTCAGAAACTACAGAACCGATGGGTGAAGTAAATATAGCAGCTTCAGCACCGGCGGGAGCTTCATGGCTGAGGCGTCGTCATGAAAATTGGAAGTGCCTGCCACAAAACACGCGCACGCAAGTGAAAAGCGATCGTGACATATCCAGGTCCCGACAACGTGGGGCGCACCGTAGAACTCAGAACAGAAGGTGGAGTTCTACGAAGACCAGTACGAAAACTAGTGATCCTGCCCATCGAAGAAGACCATCCTGCACCGAGAAGAATGCGACTGACTCGCACGGCGGGAGTAATGTGCAGGACGAAATAGGGTTTTTTTATAGTTTAAGAAACAAATAGATTTAATTTAACCGTTAATAAGTGATTACGTAATAAATGTATAATCTTAAGTTATTTTATAGTCAATATGTTAGTGTATCAGATCAGAGAATGTAAATAGACTAATAGGAACGATTTGTGGAGCGCTTTCACTACGGTAACATACACATCAAGGGACCCTCCAAAGTGGCGCGTCGATAGCGCGTCGCGAGATGGGGTACTGAAATAAATATAAAAGGATGGCCATTTATAGGAAAAAACAGTTCCCAGTGAATCTTCGACAAAGAACCATCAGCAAGATAGAAACAGTTCTCAGCGAATCTCCGACATAGAAACATCAAGAAACAAACAGTTCTCAGCAGATCATCAAGACAGAAACAGTTCTCAGCGAATCTCCGACATAGAAACATCAAGAAACAAACAGTTCTCAGCAGATCATCAAGACAGAAACAGTTCTCAGAAGCTCTCCGACAAAGAAACATCAGCAAGACAGAAACAGTTACCAGCAGTTCTTCAATAGTACAGTTATCAGAAAACCACCAGTGAATCAGCTACCAGTGAACCAGACAGTTACCTGTGAAACCTCGCTACAGAAGCCGATACCCATCGAAAGAAACAGCCGTCTTCTACCAGCGCACAAACAGACAGCAGAAACCATTATCACACGACTCGGAAACAGCCATAAAGACCGGGTCGTGTACAGAAATGTCTCTAGGCCCAAATATTGTCACTTTCTGCAGATCTTTTAAGTCAGTTTCCGAGAGGATAAAAAGTGTTTTTCCCAATTATCACGGTTGATGATTATGTACAATGCGATGTCGCATATATGTGTATAGCTTTAAATAAGATCCTGATTCAAGAAAAATAAACGCTTAACTACAAAAACACACCGAATCGCAAACGCAAGCAAGTTTATTATACAACCAGTCTCGATGATTACCTTCTTACCATATTAGAACTATCAACTGGTTTTTACAGATTTACAGCATTCAGTAGTATCATCCGAGAGCTCGGAGATTAGTAACACACGTACAGTAAACTTATATATACCTAGTCTTGCCATAAATACTGAGACAAAGGAAAAAAACTATTGCAAATAAGATTTATTACTTTTACAGTGTGTTAGTTTAATACATAAATATAAAACAATTTAAAGTATGAAAACCTTATTCGAAGTGGTCTCCATTGGCTACAATACAGTCCTTTAAACGTTGAGGCCAGTTATCAATAGAAGCACGCACTTTTTCCATGGGAAATTTTTTCACTGCCAATCGTACGGATTGTTTTAGGGACTCCAAATCATCATGGTGTTTAGAGCAAGCTGTACTCTCTAAAACTGACCATAAATCATAATCCAGCGGATTAAGATCGGGACTAGACGACGGCCAGTCTTCAGCTCTGATGAAGTCCGAAACGTTCGTTTCCAACCAAGACTGCGTAGACCGAGCTTTATGACCTGGCGCCGAGTCTTGCTGGAAGGACCATTCTTGATTATTGAACATGGTGTTGTTAAGAGGCTTCATTACCTTCTCAAGAATGGTAGCTTGATCCACTTGTGCTGATGTTTTGATACCTTTTTCACAAAAGTATGGCTCAGCCACTTCTTCATAGCTAATACCCCACCAAACTATCACTGAAGTCGGATAGTGCCCACGTTGCACTCTGTCGACTAATTGGGAAGCTTCCTTAGAGCTTTGAGCATAAATACGGTCATTTTGTTT